GGCTGCCCTCTAGCAGCTCTTGCGGTAATTTCTCTTTAATTAGAGATGTAACTACCTTTGACAGGTTTGCAGGCCCTAAAGCTTTCCAAAAAACCAATCTCAAAGGAGTTTCGGTTAAACACAATGTAAAACTGAAAATCTGAATATTAATCTGGAATACCGGGAGTCTTGATTTTGAATGTCTGAACTCATTAACTGTTTCTATAATTTCTGTGTTCATGTAGTGAAAGTTTGTATGTTGAGCTGAGAATCTGGGTGAGTTTATTGAATTGGAGATACATAGAATCCTTCATAATGTTACTTTTATTACATTTGTTTCATCTCCTGAACCACTGAATTTATTTTTTTTTAATCCCGTGAGCTGTGAGATTTGTGCAGCATCTTGCGTTTTTAGTCTTTAGTATTGCCTGCCACAAGTGTTTAAAAAGCCTTTTTAAAAAACTCAGAAGCCAAAATTAACAAACTGGTTAGAGTGTTTCACAGGACATTGTAAAAGAAACGAGATATAATATTAATTTTACTGGAAACTGGAAACAGAGCTCTTTACAGCTCCGTAGAGATTTTGGATATTGGACTATGCGGGAGCATAAATGTCCTGCGTACCTGTACCTTGCCAGGCTATTCCTGTTTGCATCTTCCCCAGAACAAATAACGGTGCCTCAGTAACGACGGGAGAGATTTCGTTGTTCAAACGATACCGGCTTTGCAGTAGCGTCCTGTGGTCCGTATTCCGAGGCAGGGCAGGAAACATGGATGTAATCCTTCTGGATAGCGTGCGAAATATCTTGGAGGCTTTGTCTTTACACTTTATTAACGTTCTTGGTTCTGGGGATTATCTAAAAATAGAAATTGGAAGATAATTGTAGCAGTTCGGAGGCAGCTACAGCGCTGACTTCCGAAGCGGCAACACCGAGGGCCAAGGGGCAGTATGATTTTCTGGCGCGCTGGGACTGCCGGGCGGACCACTTCACTGTTCCGCCATGAAAAGCCGGGAAAGCCGGGATTCGCTTCGGCGCTAACGCGTTCGCTCCCGTACGTGCCCTCCCCCCCGGCCTCAGCCGGGAGGGGCCCCGCGCTGCGGACCGAGGCGCCGCCGCC